AACAAAAAATAAACAAAACAAAATCTCCATAACCAATGTATTGGCAATGTAAAACTAAATGGCGAACATTCTCGTCTCTGCACATTTCTTATGGACTATATATACTTTGTGGTGACACAGTGGCAGAATTGTTGACAAATAACAGTAAATGAACAAAATGAAAATCTCATTCCATCAATAAATAGCTGGCAAATGCGTTAGAACAACACGACGCATGAAAAATATCGGATAAATTTATTTGATATTTGAAATTTATATAAATAAATTTTGTGCAACCAACCTCTGCTAATGAACACGTCTAAATGGTTTGTGTTCAATGGGTTCATTTGCTTACATTTGTTGAATGTTATTAAATTTTTGAATGGCCCATGAGATCTTTTACACTTATAATCAATTATCTCGTTGTCATTGTTCGTTGGTAAATCTGCATTAATATCACCAACTGCAAAAAAATTAGAATTTTCATTTTCAATCTTTGGCGCCCACGTATTGACCATGTCTTGCAAATGTTTTGCGCGAAATTCTGGCAAACCAGCTGCGGGACGACAATAAAAAGCACAGAGATCAAATTCGAACTCGGATGATTCCTTATACGATACATGACAGTCGATTTGATCGAAGTCATTTGACGAAATAATGTTAGATACATCGAAATCATTTTCATCAAAATAAACCATTACTCCTCCCCCTAATGTTGTTGCACTTGCATTGTTTATGCATTTGAAGATTGACATTTCTTCTTCGGCGATTTCTTTTGGCAAATATTTGGGCATTTTGGTCTCGACTAATACTCCTATATCGACGAAATCATTGTCAATATATCTGAATGCTTCACGTGAGTTTTTGTACGTACTATCAACAATTGTTGTTTTCGATTTTTTTTACTGTCAGTCGAATGTGCAAAACGATACAAAAGTTCGTTGGTGTATGTGTCAAAGAGAATGATTCAAAGTACCATTTCGCGCGTAATGAACGAATTCTCTATAATAATATATGTGAAAGTTTCACTATGGTAGCACATTTTCGATACGGTGACGTTTCAAGTTTAAATAAATAAAAGTTGTTCCATCGAAATGGATTTATGATTGTGCGATTCAATATAGAGAATTCGTTCATTACGCGCGAAATGGTACTTTGAATCATTCTCTTTGACACATACACCAACGAACTTTTGTATCGTTTTGCACATTCGACTGACAGTAAAAAAAAATTCGTCGAAAAATAATCCGATTGTTCATTGGAACAGTCAATGTCCAACTGGAAACTACGACAAAATCATTTTATTCGATTCTAATAAGTGGTCCACATCAGCCGATGTTTGTTGTTCTGCTTTTCATTTGATATTTCATCACAAATTTCCTTTTTGTTGCGACGCTATGCCTTCTTACGTCAACGCCAACTGGTGCAAGAACAAGTACTACAAGCACAACGTACGTCAAATTCAAAAGCTTGTATACAAATATATACATGTGTCAATTGCTTATTGAGCGGTTTCCTGTTCTCAAGAAATATTTTGAGTTTATTTTTATTAAAAAGCGCAAATTTTTTTTTTTCAATGCAAGAATTTAATCTTGTTATTTTAAAACGTAAAATCAAACATTTTTCTCGTGTTTTTGCGTGTTTTTGTCAACACAAGAGTAACTTAAGAATTGCGAACAAATGTCAGTTCATTTGTTGACGTTCCACGTTCCGATTGTTTCAATGACAACATGAAGTGACATTTGTCGCAGTTATTCATGTTGATGAAAACACGTGAAAACACAAAAATTTCATTTAATTTTATATTTACCGGGTCTAAAATATTAGAATATTATTTTTTATTGAAACATGTTTTTTTGAGTTTTTCTCTTCAAGCGATTGCTATATTTATACAAACGTGGTATTTCATTGTGTGGTTTGTGTTTGTTTTGGTTTGTTCATTGGTTGATTCATGTTGACACAATGATTCTAATAGTGATATGCTGTGCAATTGAGGCTTGAAATGTTTTTTTTTTCTCATTTGGAAAAAATATCAATGGAATAAGAGAGATATCAGTGTAATGCAAGCAGATTTTAATGTTTTTATGTGAATGAACTACTATTCAAAACAGTCAATAACAGTATACCCAACGTGTAAGCTTCTAATACTATTGGTATACAACGGTTGTATTACATGTTCTTGCACCAGTTGGCGCTTCTGGGCTCATTTATATGAGAACTGTCAAGAAGGCGCAGTGTCGTTTTGTTGACACTCGTTGCAATAAATTCCGGAGATTCGGCAGAAAATCAACAAAAAAAAAACAATTTTGTGCAGATAAAATACTGAAAAAAGTATTCAAAGAAGAAATCGATTTATTGATGCGCTTCACAAACAAGAAATTCTATTTTGAAAGTTGTGTGTGCCACTCAAACACTCAAAGTAAATGACATTCCACATAAACACGCTGAGCGATGCGCGTTATGAGCACATTGGACGCGCACTGTTCAGTGCGTTAGTCAGCGGCTGAATCAGATTGAACGCGTCCAGATAGCTAGCTGAGCTCAGACACGTACATTGTCTGGATAAAACAAATTTTAACTTACTGTATTTATTCTCTCGATCGCCCCCTGTAAATCATTGATAAATGTTTCCAACGTTTTAGCATCTCGTTTAACTTTGCGTTTTGATTTTAACTTGGAATCAATTAAATCAAATAGCTCTTTTTCGAAGTCTTTCCAATTTTTATTTTTGTCTGAAGGGCCAAATTTTGATTGAGCTGAACTCCGCACACATCGTGGTTCGCCGTGAACGCCAGTTTGTTGTATGCGGAATCCATTCATTTTTTTTCCATTGAATTGATAGCACTGCCACAAGAAATTTGGCTTTTTTATTCCGGGATGTACCACTTGGACATTACACTGGTTCGCAAAGTAGTTATGCGAACCGTGGCTGCATGTGATGATGGATTTTTCAAGATTGTAATCGTAGAAAAGATGGTAACGTCCGTTTGTTGAATCAAAAATGAACCGGGGTTTCACATAGAATTTTTTGTTTCGTTCATAAACACGTAAAATAACTAATGGCGAAAAATCAATTGATTTATCCATTGGAACATATGATATTTGGTCTTGATTTTGTTCCAAGCATAGCCGATAAATTATGAACTGTGCACGTTCGTTCAAACATTCAACTACTCTTAATTGGGAATGATACGTACGAAATACAAACTTGACTCCAGTTCTTAAAGCGAGTGCCTTGGATCGGGATTTGTTGTAAAAAATAATCCATCCATTTTTTTTTGATTTACTCTCGCCGATCAAAGGCAAATCCTCTAAAAATCGCGCATTTTCCCATTCAAAATTCGTGTTAGCCATACCTCAAAAAAAATCATCAGTCGTTTTTGGCATGTTGTCAAGCGTTTCCTCATCTTGGTCTTTTCGCTTAATGACTTTTGTCTGTATGAAATTCTCGACGGATACTCTTTTTCTTTTTGGCGATTCTGAAGCCTGCTGTTGCTGTTCCTTTTGCCTTTGCTGTTTTGGCTGTGGCGACGGCGGCAGCGGCTGACTTTTTCTCTCATCAAACGTCAATCGATCGGCGAATGCGATTGAAAATCTTTTCATTCGGTGATAGTCATCGACGAAACTGTTCAATGTATTTGGCGGAGGCGAGTCATTGTGTTCGCAAATATCAAAAATGTTGGTAGCACAATCCAGAGAAATATTAAGAATTGTCTGCAAAGACGGTTGTAGCTGTGTACTTCGTCTGCCTCACCATTCAAGGCCATGAATTTGGCTTTCTCAAATTGCTTGCGGTTTCGTCGATGATACAATATTAGTGTTTCTAATTTTTTCTCGGTATGCTCTACAAGCAAATGTTGCATATCATTTGATTCATCCAAACGTTGCCCATCATTTGCTTCATCCAAATGTTGCACATCCGAATCAGTATGGAAAAAATCCGCATCGAATAATTCAGGGCAAAAACCATATAAACGGTTTAGCATTTCCACGTCGTTTGGAACTGCTGTTCCCGCATCGTTTCGTTGTACTGTTTCCGCATCGATTGGAGCTACTTCGCTTGGAGCTGCTGTTCCCGCATCGTTTGGAGCTGCTCTCATCTCATCTGCCTGAGAAGAATCAATTTATTTGGTTAATTTTTTTTTCAAATTAAGCTAATTCCGATGTCGAGCTTACGGCGAAGACGATTTCATAGTCTCCAAGATTTAATTCCCAACGGTCAGTATACTGCATATAGTGCATTTGCACTGAATCGTCCTTTTCGCCGTCTTTATCCAAACATAACCCATCAATTATACTCGTAAAAGATTCGAATCCCATTCCAAATGAAATCTCAGGCCTCTTATCATCTTGGCTGATTGTCTATTGATTTCTCCACGATTTCGCAATTCAATCGGATCTGCCGATTGAACGATTAATTCTGGTTCATTGTCGTTGGGTTTTGGTTTTTTTTATGTATCGGACCCGTACTCCGAATTGTATCGTTTCGGCGGAGTGGTGATTTTTGCGTTTTTGGTTTCCTATAACCTATGAAACTAGAAAGTTTTCTAATGAAGAATTTTTTTTCCTTCATCTTTTACCACAAACTCGAATATCACTTGTAGATTCAATTTGTTTTGATAGAATAACTCTGAAAAATAATGCAAACTCAGTTAAATTATAACATTTTCAAGCAACGTCCAACGAATATTCCCAGCAGTTGAATTAAATTTGTTATTTTCTTGCATTATACATACTTTTCATATGATCGATATCAAAAACACCTTTCGTTTGTTGCTAAACTTAAACAATTTCAAACAAAATTATTCGAATGAAAAGAAATATGTCAAATCGTTGACAGTTCATATTTCTCTGTTATAGCATCAAGTCAATACACATAAGAATGGAATTGGTAGAAGCATATAAACTATACATGCTGAAAATTGCTGAATATTAGTGTTGCCGCTGAAAATACGTATACATGGTGAAAATACACGACTTATAGTCATACTTACTGACAGCCTAAAAATTATGGATTGATATCTGATTTGGTGTGTATCTGCTTCATAGTTCAGTTTGCGCGCATTTCTTTCTGAATTAGTAAATTATAAGAAAAAACACGTAAATCTTTCGGAATCAGAGCGACATAAATTTTGTTTGCCGTGAAAAATTGACTAAAAATTGAAACCAAAGGTTCACGTTTGAGTTGTAGAATTTTATTCCATCGAATTGGTTCGAAACAAAGAGATTGATTGTTCGTTTGGGAAAAAAACATATCAGTGAGTCATTAAATTCTGTTTTCGAAAAAAATCAAATCACACTATTGGTCATCACGTTTTTATCAAATTATTTTATCGATATTTTTTTCTCCAACTTTAATTCCAGAGTGACACACTGTGAATTCATTTGTCATTGCGATGTCTGAACCATTGCTCCAACAAGCGGTGATGAAATTTCGCTGCAATTCGTGTTTACAGGTTCAGAAAATGTTCGACGTGGTTCCACGTCGAACCGGTGTTGAAGTTCCAAAACAGTTTTTCACGAGCTGTTACCATATATTATGTAATCGCTGTCGATTCAGTAATGGTCAGAATTGTGCGTTGTGCAATCAAAGTTGTCGGTTTCTCGGATGCGCGAGCCACATACCAAAGCACTACTAGCTTTTCTTGAAGCCCATTTCGAACGCAACGAAACAACAATTGGACATCATGAAGTTTCAGCGTATGCAGAATCGTATTGTACAGCGTCGATTGATGTTCAAACAAATGGAATTACAGCGTCGAATTTTCGTCGAAAAAACAATCAATTCGATCAATTGGATTTTTAGAAGTGTGGTGATAACGTTCAATTAACATCCCACATACATTTTTGAATTGAACGTTATCTTTCCACTTTTAAAAATCCAATGGAACGTTCAGAATAATTCCGAACAAATTGTGCGGTAGCTGTTATTTCAAAATATCCACAGCTATTGCCTACAAATAGCAACCACTAATAGCTCGAAATATAGGCATATACAAAATGAGAGCTCTGAGTAAAACCAACACTTTTCCTATACAAACAAAGTTTGTGGAAAAGTAAAAATGAGAGTTTTTTTAACATAAAAGTGTTGCCTCGCCCTGTGGAGCTTCGTGGAGGTCCGTGGAGTATATTGGAACATTTTGGTACATTTTGAAATATATTAAAATATTGTGGAATATTGGAACATTGTGGAGCTCCGTGGAGCTTCGTCGAGGTCTGTGGAGGTCCGTGGAGTATATTGGAACATTTTGGTACATTTTGGAATTTATTAAAATATTGTGGAATATTGGAACATTGTGGAGGTCCGTGGAGCTTCGTGGGGGTCTGTGGAGCTTCGTGGAGCTTCGTGGAGGTCTGTGGAGTATATTGGAACATTTTGGTACATTTTGGAATATATTAAAATATTGTGGAATATTGGAACATTGTGGAGGTCCATGGCCTCTACAGAATTTCAGCATATCGGAGCTTATAGGAGCATATCGGAGCTTATAGGAGCATATCGGAGCTTATAGGAGCATATCGGAGCTTATAGGAGCATATCGAAGAAGAATAACATTTTTCACATACAGAATTTGAGCATATCGGAGCTTATCGGAGCATATCGAAGAAGAATAACATTTTTCACATAGGTCCATGGGCTCCGTGGAGCCCATGGACCTCTACAGAATTTCAAATATATTCCACCATATTCCAACAAGCTGCCACGGAGCCACCGAAAAATCAAATCGATTCCACAATGATCCGAGCCGCGGAGAATTTTAAAGAAACCGTTATTTCCCCAATCTGTATTCCAGCTGTTGGCAATCAACCAATACGGTGTCAATACCCTGATTTTAATGGTCGCCTTTTTTTGGATACACAGTGGGGCGCGGAAAAAAATTTGCATATATTTGAAACATACTCGACCCCATAGAAAAATAAATCAATTTTGGCTACTGTCAATAAAGTGTAGGTGTGCCCAAATGGGATTAACTATAAAATGAAGTCGAAGACCAAGGTAGCGACGAATAAACATCATTACTCATTACTTTTGTCACTTATTATAATCCAAAAGTCGATTAAATGAATAAACATTCAAAATATGATGATATTGTTTCATTTTCACACATATTTCTGAGTTTTTTTGGAGTGTCCCAATGGGACACTGTCCCATTCAAGAAGACAAAATTTTTTTTGGCCATTTTTGGCGTGGTCGGAAATTTTGCGATAATTTTTTTTTGTAATGTAATCGAAGAACTGTCTTAGGGAAAAAGATTCCTTTGATGGTCCTCTTTCCAACGGTATATCACATTCTCAAAAATATTTCCAGAAGGGAAAGTTACAAAGTTACCTCAAAGTTTGTCCCATTCATGAAGACATTCCCTTATATGTTTATCATTTCACGATAAGAATTAAAATTGATTTTGTTTTGATTCAGTTTTACCCATGTTCGTAAATACCGACATTAGAAAAGAGATGTATAAAGCAAATGTGGATGCCCAATTTAAAAAGCTTTACATTTATCATATGGAGAATGTGAGCATATTATTTGCTGATATTAAGGTTAGTTTTTGTATGAATATTTCATATTCGAAGCAATCGAGTGGAGAGTTTTTCATCAAATTTCATTCTGGAAATAGGGCTTCACTGAGTTAGCAAGTAAAACTTCAGCACAGCAGCTGGTGAAAATTTTAAATGATTTATTTGCTCGCTTTGACAAAATCGCGGAGGACAATCACTGCTTACGGATAAAGCTACTTGGGGACTGTTACTACTGTAAGTAAACTTTGTTTAAGCCCATTAAAATATATTCCGAAATAAAACTCTTTATTATCTCACGACAATTCCACACGAAACCGAAGAGAAATTGCAATTGACCTCTCCGATTTTGCTCAAACTTGGTGCATAAACTTGGTATGGCCATAAACTCGCAAAGCCAAAAAATAAGGGTGACCTTCTCCACTTGATGAAAAATTATAGTGGCCGATATTTTGCGAATTCAAAAATGCGACCGTCTTTGGACATAAAGGTGCCTTATTATTTTGGGCAGTTGTGGTGAGATTATGCGATTTTTTCACGCCTTTTCTTTAATATTACCTCCCTAAAGCCAAATCTGTGCCATATAAATGCAATATGTTATATGCCAAAATAAACTAGAGACCAGGTGCTACATTTTAGGAACATACCCTACCTTCGCTGGTACCTAAGAAGCATTAAAAATGGTTGCATACTTGCAGGAGCACGTTTTTTTTAAACTGACGACCTCGATTTGGGCCAGAAGAGAGGGTTTCATGAAGTTAGAATGTTCTACAAGTAAGTAGGATTTTTTACGAGCTTTCCGAATATCATATTGGTTTGGGGCTAAAATAGTGCTGCCAGTTGAACTGAACTATTCATGTTCGTTCAAGTTTGTTCGAGTTTTTTATGAACATGAACGAACATGAACGATATTTTCTAATTTTCGAACGAATTGAACAAAAACAGAGAAAATCAAACTTTGAACAAAACGAAATGAACTGAACATGTATGTTCATTTGTGATTACTCGTGTTGATCGCACGTAAACATCGCTGAGTTAAGCGAACATGAACTCGAACAAACATAAACATTTATTTTTTCGTATTGAACAAGGTGAACTGAACGCGAACGAACATGAACGCGAATTCCTTAAAATGTTTGAACATGAACGTTCGAGTTCAGTTCAACTGGCAGCTCTAGGCTAAAAGCAGGTTTCTACCATATTTTTGCTCTAAAATAGTAATTTTTGGTGATTTTTCGATTTTCGGATCCTCCACTGCCTCTCTAAAGGGGAGGACGGCCCCAACCAATGGTATTTTTTGATTCGTTGGAATCCGGTGAGCATTTCATTAGAACATATTAGCATCGTCAGACCAGATATTCGGTGTGAAAAAAATGTATGGGCGAAAATACTGACTGGAACGTCACGCAAAAAATTGGTTTTTCGAGTTTTTCTTCATGAATTCTGAGTTAAGGTTAATGTTTATCATTCTCATATGAAAAAAGGTACCAAGACGGAACCTCTTTTTTGAACAAAGTTTATCTCTAAGTATCGTAGATCAAGAGCTATAGCCGATTTAGAGGGACTGGAACGTCACTTTTTTATAGAAGTGGTTTTTGAGGTTGTTCGGCATTTCGATGATATCCAGCCCCTCTGGCCTAGAGAATATGTATGTGAATTACTATATTGGAGTTCAAGGTCCAAATAATCGATTGGAAAACTTGCATTTACACAAAAATGTATTCTGGACTGTTTTCTGGCCGCAAATAGGTGACTGGCTACGTCACGAAAAAAAAAGATATATGAATACCTCTGATATCGCCAAAAGTTAGATCATAATATTGAAATTCACCTCATTTCCTTTCAAAACAGCCATTTGGATATGATTTTTCACTCGCCAGTCTATCAGGAACATCCACTTGAAACCTTCTTGGATTCGGTGACGTTCCAGTCCGAATTACGTTTTTTCATGATAAAACATTGATTGACATCACATTCACATATACTAAGACCTTCTTTTTACTTCTTTTCCATATCTTCTTCATATATGAAACGTTTACTAACAATATGTAAAAATATTTCCGCCAAAATTGAAAAAAACCATTTTTCTCTGTGGTTGACGTTTCAGTATTTTCGCCCATATAGTCGAAAAATCATGAAAAAATGGTAAATGGTGACCACACCGAATTTTATTCTGAAAAAATATCAACTTGCGGATAGTTAGGGAGTATCGCCGCTTTGCCTTCTCATCGCTGTCGCCAACTGGTACTAGCAAGTGAACTACAAACAAAATGTCAAAACAATGTCAAATTAGTCAACAGAAGAGTTGAATAGTATTTATTTTTTATTTATTTGATTCGGTGATGAAATCTGCATAAATTAATTTATGCGTGCAATAATTTCATCACATGCTGCCTTAAGGCCAATTACATTTTTAAAACTAAACATTTTTTTTATAAATAGTGCAAAAACATATAAATACAGAGCTTCTGAAGGTTGGTCGTCCAGAGAGGGGTTATTTCAAATTGAAAATTTTATTTGGGGGGTAGTTCCAAAAGTGAAGAGCAAAAAAAGGTCATCACTTTTCAAAATCGATTCTATCTAGTGTAAACCGCTTCGCAGAAAAAAACAGGACTAAAAAAAAGGCCCTCACTTTTGAATTTAAATCACAGTATGGGCGAAATTTTCCACATAGGGGTAAAAAATTGGGGTAATGTGCAAAAATTAATTCAGAGGGGGTAATTTGAAACTGCTTCAGAAGCTCTGTATAAATATGAAAAAATAATTTAAATATGATTCTTATTATAATCTATGATTTTCAATGTTTAGTAAATAGCTTTTTAGAAGTGTTTTGAAGTCATCATTATCAGTAACATTACGTATAAAATCGGGTAACTTGTTCCAAAGACTAGGACCTCCAATAAATAAGGAAGTTTTGTGAAAGTTATTCTTAGGCATATTTACTATTAGTTTATTAGCAGATCTAGTATTGTTTGTATTGATTTTAATTAAATTATTCAAATAAGATTGGGCTTCATTTATTAAGATTTTGTTCAACATATTAGCAATATGGAGTGTTCTCGATCATAAAGAGTCAATAAGTCAAGTTCATTTCTGTGAGGAGTTATGTGTTCTCTTCTGTTTATATTTAAAATTTATCTAATGCATATATTGAGCAGTTTTTCTAATTCATCACTTTCACCATTAGTTCCGTGAACATCATAATCATGATAAACTGGGAATCATTAATGAATTAACTAATTGCAATTTTATGGTGTTCGGTAATATCATTTTTAATGGATTTATGGTATTGATTGCCCCATAAACTTTTTTTTGAACAATTTTAATATATGATTCACTTGTTATTGTTCGATTCACATATTCCACTCTTTGTCCGTTTACAATGATATCACAGTGCAACACTAGTCAAAGGGCCAGGACTTGGCATATCGGAGGTGTTAGTACTACCATAGCTGAGTAAAACCCCAACTGGGTTTTTGAAAGTTTAGTAGGGGTTTTCGTTCTAACGACCTATGCAGTTTTTGGGATTCAGAGGATTTTTCAGAGTTGACTTCTTCAGTTTTTGGTCAATAACTCATTTAGTGTTGATGATAACATCTCACTGTTTTCAGCAAAATTGTAGTTAAAGGTCCAATAAATAAATTTTACCAACATACCCGACCCTAAAAATGACATTTGGTGGATGCTAGAGGGCCAAATTTCCGTAAAAATGTCATTTTTTCAGTTTTCCGACTATAACTCGCAAAGTACACATTTGTTTCACTTACTTTCTTTGACAAAATTATAGCCAGAGATAGATTAAATAACTCTCTAGAACATATTAACTCGAAAAAACCACACCCAGTCCACTTTACAGGCTGAAAATAAATTTTGGCTACCAAACACATTTTTGAGCATTTTTTGAAGTCATATAACTCCTCAACTGATCAAAATAAAGCAATGGTGTCTGAAGCAACTTTGTAGTACTGCTTAAGAGCTTTGCAGATAAAGTGCTAAAAGTACTAAAATAGTACTAAAAATGTACTAATTTGTACTAAATTGCCTAAAATCATTTTTATGGCCATCGGCAACTCTGAATGATGGAAGACTGCACTAAATCATGTTAGACACACTGTTTCGGACCATAGTAAACCCTAGGCGCCGATACTAGGCCGAAAAATTGATATGTGAAGCGAAAATCCACCAGTATAACCTATGAAAAAGTAACATATCAGACTTTAATCTTTTCGATTCAAATATTAATTATTCAGCTAAATATCGGCACCTAGGGTTTACTATGGTCCGAAACAGTGTGTCTTACATGATTTAGGGCAGTCTTCCATCATTCAGAGTTGGCGATGGCCATCAAAATGATTTTAGGCAATTTAGTACAAATTAGTACATTTTTAGTACTATTTTAGTACTTTTAGCACTTTATCTGCAAAGCTCTTAAGCAGTACTACAAAGTTGCTTCAGACACCATTGCTCTATTTCGATCAGTTGAGGAGTTATATGACTATTTCATATGGCGCTCGAGCGCCTTCAGCGCTCGCGTGCGCCCTCAAATCGTTTGCGCTCTGAAGCATTGCACCACTCCGCTCCCGGTAAAAAAAGTCCCTGCTCCCACACCATTTAATAGTTGGAGTAGTCTGTTACACAGTACGACACATGTTTTTTTCTCGTGTCCCAGGCGAGCCCTTTAGTGGGCTGAAAGAGGACCTCAAATCATGAAGAACTGCATCTTTACTTTTTGAAAGTTGCAACTTTACACCATGGTGTAATTTTGTCGTTTTTTGATATTTTGCGTTTTCAGTGTACAAATCATTGTCAAATGAAATTGCATGCAATTTACACCCATTCCTAGTGGTTTTACGCATATGATTACTTCTACAAAAATGTTTAGCGGGCAATTTTTCATGGAAATAGCCTTGCCAGATCCAAAGCTTTTCACTGATTATGTGAAATATTGTCCAAAAAATGTCCAAAATGCCACAAAATGTATGAAAATCACAAAAAATCGTCTTTTCTTCGAAAATTACTCAAATATACACTTTTCAGGGTTGGTGTCTTGGTAAAAAGTTATTTTTTTTTCAAAAATAAGGGGAGTCTTCTCAGTCGAAAACTCTTGGAAGTGATTCCCTGACACCAACCCTGAAAAGTGTATATTTGAGGAATTTTCGAAGAAAAGATGATTTTTTGTGATTTTCATACATTTTGTGGCATTTTGGACATTTTTTGGACCATATTTGACCGGACGTCCGAAAATTATTTTCGGTTTTCGGACATTCGGACCGGACGTCCGAATTTTTTCAAAAAATATGACCGATGGGTTTCGTCCCTTTGCTTTTCATAGTGTAAAAATGTCAAAAAAGTGCTTTAATCAATTTTTCGCACAATTTCGGCCACCCTAATTCTTCATCAAGAGGGGAAGGTCATCCTAATTTTTGGCTTTGCAAGTTTTTGGCCATACCAAGTTTATACACCAAGTTTGAGCGAAATCGGAGAGGTCAATTGCAAATTTGGTTCGGTTTCGTGTGGAATGTGGAATTGTCGCTTATTTAATTGAATAATCTTCACAGGTATATCCATGTTTGACTCTAGTAGCTGGAAATCGCGTCCAGATCATGCTGTTTGTAGTGTTGAAACTGGACTCCACATGATTAAAGCTATTAAGGATGTTCGACATAATACACATGCAAGTTTTATCTGATTTATATTATGAATAAAGGTGTCAAAAGGACAACATTTTGTACGTTTTGTAAAATAGTTTTCGGACGAACGGACAATTGTCCGAATGTCCGAAAAAAAATTTCGGACGGACATGGTGTCCTTTTGTCCGTCGGACATTCGGACACGATATTCTTCTCGGACATTTTTCGGACGGACGGACACGGACAGACAATTTTTTTGTTTGAACATCGGAATCATCAAAAATCTTTTGAAAATTACCCCTTAGTGTACTGTACACACAACCGCTCCTAAACGGGCATTATTTGAACGTCTGTATAACGTAATCCGTAAGTCAGATCACATTGTTTCAAAAGCATTTTTATTGGTTATCAAAAATCTCTTGAATTTTTAAAATATTCAACACAATCGAATAAAGCTGCCAACCAACTCTCAACTCTCAAAAAATCGACTTCTGGTCAAAAAATCTCTAAATATACACTTTTTACGGTTAGTGTCTTTGTAAAAAGTTATTTTTTCTCAAAACTATGGGTAGTCTTCTAAGACAAAAACTCCAAAAAGAGATTTTTTGAGGTACTTGTCCAACGACTGCTAGTGTCGAACGTAAATGCACGTAAATGCTGCATAATATTAATTTTTCATTGTTTTTCTATTAAGAATGGATGCATTTAGTATTATGTGACGTGACACTAGCAGTCGTAGTACTTGTCGAACAAAAGTGACGTTTTTTATGGATTTTGTTGTGAAATTATCATTTTTTGTTCGTGAGGTACCTCGAGAAATCACCACCAGAAATATATGAAAATATCACTCGATTTGGTCATGTAGGCACTCAAAATGTTCATGAGGGATCACACTAGAAGTTTATAGGCAGCAACGGCAGAAATTATTTGCTCAGTGACGTAATATCACTGTTAAACCGAAGCTCATCCGGGCGTAATTTTCTCATTTTGCTCCACAGCCGAAAAAACCTTTGAATCAAACAAAGAAATACGTCTAAAATATGACGTTAGTGGGTTTCCATCCAATATTCCCATATAATGACAGGAGTCCTACTAAACAACACACATACGCATGTACAGTCATTGGGGCATACACAAACGTCATAGATGAGTTGACGTTTGTGTATGCGCCAATGACTGTACTGTACATGCGTATGTGTGTTGTTTAGTAGGATTCCAGTCATTATATGATAATATTGGATGGAAACCTACTAACGTCATATTTAAGACTTATTTCTTTATTTGATTCAAAGTTTTTTTTCGTCTGTGTTACAATAGACGCAATATACGACACAAAAATCACATGAATTTTATAAAATGAAAACGGAAATCAATTTTACGTTGAAAATTGAGTGGAAATAGCTTCTCAGACATTTCAAATTCGAAAAAAATCGGACTTGTTCGGCTATATATAGCGTAAAATGGCGACTTTTTGGCCATTTTTGATTTGAGCCTCTCAAGCCACCAAATCATTATTTCGTGTGCAGCTAATGATCAGATTTGGATTTTTCGTCAAAAATTAGACTAAGTAGAGTCATTTTTAGCCATGCATTTGAGATTTTTTGGGGCTCCAGAGGGGAGTATTTGCGAAAAAGTAGCCAAAAAATCATCCACGCGAAATGAACCATACAAACGATTTTTCGTACACACAGCGCCGGTGTACTTCGTAGTGGAAAAAAGTGAAGCTTGCTTGTCACCAATATTGATGTTCACGGACATCAAATTGTTTATGCGTTATTTTGCCCACTTTATGCACTAAAAATATTAAATTCCTTGATTGGTATCAAATTTCACATATGAATTCATGATCACATCAGGAAAACGCCACTTTTTTCAAATAAAAAGCTAAAGCAAGATGATTTTTTCGTTGATGGTTGTTCGATCCTGGATCACTGTGATTCATTGATGATTTGCAACGCATCTATTTTTTTGTCGATAGTCCAACTAAATACGATGACAAAATATTTTTTTATTATTTTCTTGAGATGGCAATTGAGCGTGCTTTGATGATAAACAACACAAACGATAGCACAAACATTAATGTCTTAATAAATTAAGAAATAACCAGTTGCATTCAATCCTGGATCCAATTGTTTGTCGCCTATAACAAATCACACTACATTCAAAGCTGATTTTCGAACATTTCTTTTCTCAATTTATACCTAAAAATCACAGTAGAGATTTTATTTTAAATAAAATCTCATTGCACAAATGTTTCAAATTCAAGTGTCACACAAATACACGAAATTCTCGAAGAATGGCCGTATAAGTATTCTTTTTCAATTCAAACTCAATCAATTTCAAGAGATTATGAATAGAAAGAAAATAATCATCTCCGGCGTGATTAATTCAAAATAAAAACTCGATTTTTAACTAAATGGTGTAAACACAATGTAAGTTATGAAATTGTTCCACTTCAAATGAAATGACAGTTGACTTCACAAAAACTGCATTCAGCTGTGTTTAAAATGTCAAACTGCCGAGCGCTTCAAACGATCTGTTCCGTACATTCGACACGTGGAGAATTTGTGGATATTCCGAATTTACTGTTTTATGACATTTCAAACACAGCTGAATGCAGTTTGTGTGAAGTCAACTGTCATTTCAGTGAAGTGGAATAATTTCATAACTGGAAGTCTGAAAAAATCCTCAAAAAATGAACCAGACAAAAAATTCGGCGGATAGTGGGAGTCGACTTTTCGGCAAAATGTCCCAGAAAAAAAGTTTTTTCTTTTGAGGTGCCAAAACGAACGCGTACCCAGGGTTTTTGATTTTGTACGATTTTAAATATCGATGCACCCTATTAATCAATCAAGTAAAGTCAGAAATTCAATTATATTCGACCAATAAATCGTTCTGAAGGAGGGAAAGTTGGAGTTTACTGGAAAAACCAAGTTTAAATTAATAAATTCTTCGTTAATCGTAACACAGTAAACTGACCTAACCTCACACGAAGTGATTGCGATTGTTGTGTAGAAAAAAGAATATGTGCTAACCTCAAACACAGCGAACGGGCGTAGCCGCAGCAATCTAGTTCATCGGATGAATTATTTTAATGGTCCGTTCTTGCCCAAATGGTCCGTTGTAAAAGTCAAATGGTCCGCTCTAGATCGGAAATTGGTCCGTAAGTCTCCATTAGTTTGATCATGTTTTGACCTTTTCTTAAGCCATTTTTCGAAATTTTTTCTTTCAGAATGACTGAATTTTAACCATTTTTTACCGAACACTTTATTTCCCATATAAATGTTCTAATTTTTCGAACACTTGGTAGAGAACGAGTTGAATAAACGACAGTGCGATGAAAAAAATGAAAAATGGGACAAATAAAAACAGAACACAAAAGAATAAATTTAACATTCATTAGCTTTGTTTTTTTTTCTCCTCTGCACTTGATTAAAGAAAACACAAACATTGGAAACATTCGATTGCATAGTGTTTGATTTGAAAACCGTTGAATTTGAATTCTGTTTTGACGTTCGTTGGTACACTTGACGAAATTCGCAGTGTTTGTCTCTTGCATTCACACAGAAACAGAAAGAGAAGCGTATAAAACACACGAGACAAGAACGGCAGCTTTGTGTGTGCATGCACGCGCGCGTCGCTTACGATGTATCTCGTGTTTTGTATTTATTTATTTATTTATTTCACACCGCCAAAAACTGGCTGAATATTTTGTTTTGCAGGAAAACGACTCCAAGAGTCGTGAAAAACCTGATCTTTTTGTGTTTGTACAATATATGGTAATTTTATACAATAAATAGTTGTAATAGTCTTTCTCGATTGGTATAACAATTTGGTTTAAAAAGCATTGACACAAGATAACCTAACCAATACATGGAAATGAATAGGTAGCCGAAATGTAAACGGTCCAATATAGCCTAACTTAAACGTGTAAAAAATGAAAGACCAACTGAAGCGTAAAAAATAAAATAAATACACAGAGACAATGCAAAAAGATAGGCAGATTTGTTTACAAACAGCAAAAAATAAACAAAACAAAAATCCCCATAACTATTGCATGGGCAATATAAAACTAAATGGCGAACATGTTACATTTCTGATGGACGTTATGTAAAGTGGCAATGCGTGGATAAAGGCAGACTTGTTGACAAATAACGGGAAATGAACAAGATAAAAATCCCTCTCGGAGTCTGTTGTTTACGCTTCTCTGTCTGTTTCCTTGTGAATGCAAGGGACAAACAAAAATGAACAAGCGCGCGTCACAGCGAATATGCACGCAACCAACAGCTGCTGTTGAACAGATCTGTTCAGCAGCAGCGCTACATAGCCAGCAACTTCAATGCTCTGAAAAATAGCCATGAATGAAGTCCATTATTTTGGACAACAGGGTGGAAAAGTTCTCCATCGGGAAGACCTTTTATTTAGGAGACCGTTTAATTTCTTTTGGAGGCCGTTTCTTTTCTTTGGAGGCCGTTTCTTTTTTTGGAGGCCGTTTCTTTTTTTTGGAGGCCGTTTCTTTTCTTTGTAGGCCGTTTCTTTTCTTTGGAGGCCGTTTCTTTTTTTTGGAGGCCGTTTCTTTTCTTTGTAGGCCGTTTCTTTTCTTTGGAGGCCGTTTCTTTTTTTGAAGATTTTTTACAACAAGTGACCGCTTTATTATTTTTAGAGATCGTTTCCTTTTTTTCGAATTCAATTAGAGATTATTTTGAGGCATCACTTCTTATAAATAGAGATCAATTTTATATTTTTGAAAAAAAAAATCTTTTAATTTTGAAGACCAGTTATTTATTTTCAAAATTCATTTAATTTAAATAGTACTCCATATCTTTTTTTCTAGTGACCATTTAATTTTTTTTAATTAATATTTTTGGAGATTAATTCCTCTTTTTCGCAACCAATTCCAGATTTTCAGTAACCATTTCTTAAATTTAGTGACCGTTTCATTAAAATTAAATACCAAAAAAATATGTCCCAGCACAAAATTGATGTCGAGCTGGAATTTCTCAGTTTGCTGTGACTCATCGGCAGGCGATTGTTGAACGCCTTG